GGCAGCTGCGGTGCCTGGGGCGCAGCAGGCAGATGCGGCCGCCTGGCGCGGGGCCGTCGGCGCGCAGCACGCGCCGCTGGCTCCGACAGCTGCATCAGGGGCCTCGTGAAACACGGGAATGTTCTCCAGCGAATGAAAGTGCTCCCAGGCAATCCCCTGGGGATCGGTGATCCAGTGCTTGTCGCTGCGTGCATAGCAGCAGGTGGTGGCGCCTTCGTCGAGCATCGCCAGGTCGGCGGCCCTGGCGCGTGCCTTGAGCGCATCCAGCTCCTCGGCCTCATCCACTTGGAAGCCCAGGTGGTCCAGGCCGGCTTTCTCGCCTCGCGTCGAAATGGCGAAGTTCACCCGGGGCTCATCCAGCATCCACTTCGCGTAGTCGCTTTCCACGCGGGCGGGCTCGGCACCAAACAGCTGGGAATAGAACGCGATGTTCTTGGCCAGATCGTCGACGTGCATATGGACATGGAAGCGTTTCATCGTGGACTCCGTTCAGCAGTTGCAGGGCAAGGCATCCACCGTGGCGCATGCGGCGCCCTGGCAGCAGTTTTCGGTAAGGTAGGCGAGCAGGTCGTTCATCGCCGCAAAGGACGCCCGGTACAACACATTGCGGCCCAGGCGCTCCTGGCTGACCAGCTCGGCATGGGACAGCTCCTTGAGGTGGAACGACAGCGCGTTGGGTGCGATACCCAACTGTTCGGCCAAGGCGCTGGGCGTAAGCCCCGCAGGGCCGGCGACTACCAGGGCGCGGAAAACGCGCAGGCGCGCTTCATGGGCCAGGGCCGAAAGCGATCGGATGACTTGGGTTTCTTGCATGCATCAATAATACAACTATTGTTGAATTGTTGTTAAAAAAATAAGGGCGGCCGTGCGGCTCCATTGCGCAAGCTCCGCGCCGAATGCGGGACGCCACTGAACACGCAGCACGCCACGCAGATAAGCCGTTGATTTCTCACGTCCTCGCAAGCCATGCACCATCGATCCTTAGAGAGATGCGCCACTGAACTTTCGTCTGTACGGAAAACGCGCCACTGCACTTTAGTTTTTTGGCCAGCAAGGCTGAGGAGCGAGCTATCGGCCGAGGCGCAAGGGCTCAGGGCCGATGTGCGGCGGCGTCGCGGGTTGCCATGGGCTCTTGTGTGGC